TTGTGTTCCCGTTACCCGTCTTCGGGTCTATCGCTCGGTTGCGGCGATAAAACTCTGTCTCCACTTTCATAGCCATCGCTTGTATTACTTGTGATAAGTACACCAAATCGGCGAACCGATCGACACCGCCCTTCGAGGGTAGTTTGAAATAAGTGGCTGGGTGAAATAAAAGTACATAAGAACTATATTAAAACGTATTCCAACATAGACCATGTTTTAAACTCTCAACAATAATGCTTTACAATAATTTAAAACAAACACACATGTTACACAACTAGATACAAACTAGATTATTTTAAAAACTATCTAAAAACTTACCAATTGCCTTCTCGATGGATTTGGTGCCGCCCGGATGGTGCTGCCGGTGCTCCAGCGCCGCACCGATCGGGAACGTCAGGTCAGTCTCGTTCAATACGGTCAACAGTGTCTCGACGGACGGGTAGGATATGTAGCCGTATTCTGAGGCAAACTTACCGCTCGGGTATTGGCGCCAATTCCACAGGGGTTTGTCATACGTATAGTAGTGGACATCGCCGTAACGGGTGTCGGCCAAGTGGCCGGACACCCAATCCTCCTGAACCTCCTCATCGCCATTGGACGGACTCGAGCCCACAAACGTGCGGCTCATGTCGTGGGCCAGAATCAGGCGTCGGATATGAGTGATGTAGAGCTCGATGTAATCGGCTTTATGTATAGCCGTCTCATTCTTGTTGCCCAATCGCACAAAACCCTCGTTCTCGTTGTTACCTATGGGTGCAGACATACCGGCGCTCATTAAAACAAACATAATAACATTTGTGGTCAAGCGCTCACATACCGGCCCATATGGCTATAGACGGGTGGTGTTGTAGTCGACGCATCTGTTGGGTCACCTCCTGGTCAACGGTGGCCAAAAATGCCGGATCGGTGGGGTATAGACTGCAGGCGAACATCATGTCCTGTCAAATCATAATACCGAACTCGTCGGCCAACTCGTACAAGTAGTCCGACTCGTAGACACCGCCGCCCCAGACGCGCATCATATTCATGTTGGCATCACTAGCCGACTGCATCAGCCCACGCAAGTACTCCCGAGTGATGCGCTCCTGGAGGTTGTCGGCGGGTATCCAATTGGACCCTTTGGCATAGAAGGGCTGTCCGTTCACCTGGAAGTAAAACGTGAGCCCTATTGGCTTCACCGGTGTCTGTATCACTTCGATCGTACGGAAACCGATCCGACGGCTCAGTTCAGACACCTCTCCGGGCGAGTCCGGGAAAACGGCGGTCACTTTAAGCGCGTACAGTCGTTGAGTAGCTTTGCCCACGCCGTTTGGCCACCATTTTTCCACATTGTCCACCGGGATTATTAGTTTCACCTTGCTGGTGCCGTCCGGGCCCGGCGTTAGCGCGTACTCTTGGCCAGAGACCAGTTCCCTATCGTCCAGATGTACGGTCAGTTTGACGGTTACGGCTGCGGCCGACTCGAAGAACACACCGGTGTTGAGCTGCCATTTGGTCGGCGAGTCATTGACGGGTGTGGTCTCAACGGTGATGTCCCGCACCACTGACCGGTCGTACGCCTCCAGACCGATGGGTTTCCATATGCCTTGTGTGGGAAATGCCGGTCCCTTTTGGGTGAGAGATTAAAATACATATAAAATTAATGGTATAGTTGGATAAGTGGGTGAAGGGGGACAGGTATGTGATGGACAGGTATGTGATGGACAGGTATGTGATGGACAGGTATGTGATGGACTGGTATGTGATGGACAGGTATGTGATGGACAGGTATGTGATGGACAGGTATGTGATGGACAGGTATGTGATGGACAGGTATGTGATGGACAGGTATGTGATGGACAGGTATGTGATGGACAGGTATGTGATGGACAGGTATGCTTACCCAGTCCCAGCTGAATGATGCGGGCATTTTGCGGATCATCTGGTTGTGACACTCGCTTTGGTATTCTTTGGGAAAACACTCTGTTGTAATAAAAAACAAAATAATTATAGCATTAATGTAAAAAATCAAAGGTCCTGTGCGATAACATACGAGGTATCATATCGTAGTGGTACTTGTCGTGATGCCATTGGTGTTGTCAGCGCGAGTAGGTTAGCGCCGACTCGAACGCCACGCGTATAGTGTTTTGGCCACTTTTGACCACTTTCTTCACGTCAAACGCGTACCGCACGTATTGGTTAACAGTCTCTCCGACCAACTGGTCGTTCACGTATATCTTGGACACTGTGTCCACCCCTACGGCCACCAAATTGACCACTTGTTTGGTTAGCAGTGCCGCCGGGACTACCATTTAATGGGGGAAATGGTTATTATAACACTAGTAAAAGCGGTGCATATCAATCAATACATACCGTCAAACGTGCGCTCATACGTCCAGTTGTCCCACGAGACCCACCGGTAATTGACATCGTTATAACCGCTGAGCAACTCTTCGGCCAAGTGGCCACTGGCCCGCATGTCTGTGTGTATAGTGCCCGGCACTGTAGCCGACGATTTGATGGCTAAATATGAATGTAATTATGTTATAAAGTTGTCTCATAGAATTCAATACAATTTGATCAATCATTTGGTATATTTGGAAATTTTTCTTTGATTTTAAATAACTGTTTTAGGATTTGAATATTCCTTTTCTTTTCAAGTGAGTCTATATTTAGTATTTCTAATCTCTTTGAATAGTTTGCATCATATATTCTCATTTTACCACATTTATATTTGGTTACTTTACGTTGTATTTTCTCTAATCTTTTACTTTGAGTTGATGTATAGGTAAGACAGAGATTAGAGTATTCAACAATTGGGATCACATATGATTGATAGTCTTAGAAATGTTTTACTATTAACTAACCTACAGATGTGTTTCAATGTATAGAATTTTTCAGAGCTTTTTAGCATATCATATCTAAATATTCATTAAATAATAGTTTTTCATCGTAACTAACTCCAATATGTGATGAGACTCTTATCTTTGATTTTATAAATAAATCATTCACTTTTCTTTGTGCTGATTCTCATCGAAACACATTTGTTTGGATTTAATTTCAAAGAATTCTTATCACAAAATATAGAGATATTATTCAAATCTAATTGCAATTCACTACAATCGATATTATCTTTGATTACTCTTAGGAGCACCATATCGTCTGCAAATTTGAATATATGACTATTTATAACCATAACTATATCTGCCATATAAATATTGAAAAAATCAGTACTTAGAACTCCACCTTGTAAGACTCCAGACTCTACTACCATTTCATCAGACAAACAATCATTGAATTTTATCATTTGTTTTTAGTTAGAAAAACTATTTGATATAATATCAAAGAAATTGCCTCTAATTTTATACATATTTAGTTTTGTCAAATGTCTTTGATGTGGAATCGAATTGAATTCATCGCTTAAGTCTAAGAAAATCAAATCAACACCAATTATGTTCTCATTAAATGAATTGTATATTACTCTTTGCATATCAATATGAATGTTTGCTATACCTCTGCCTATTTTGTACCCATATTGACAGTTAGGAATGATTTGATTTGCTTCTATCACGGTCCAACCCACTTAAAATGTAACTAAATTATATAGAATAATGTTACCAGGATCTTTATAACATTCTCACATACCTTGTCGCATTTTCTCTGTCCAGGGCATTTTCTCTCCTCCGCATACTCTAAATTAGTCGGTCTGTCAAATAAGTGTTACTGTTGTCTTACTTAGGTGTGAAATTAATAAATACCTTATAATTGTTGACCATAATAGTATTTACAAAAACGATTGTAAGGTGTTGTGATTGTGTTGTCGATGCAGATTGTTACTATCAGATAATACTCAATTAAGTGTATTTAATACTAACAAATTCCTAGAGATCTTCTTTTTTTAAGTATTAGAAGATACTAAATACTAAAAAGGTATAAACGTTAAACCCAGGTTTAGTAATTGAAGACGAGTTAGAATTGCCCTTTTTGACTGACGAAGAGATTGAGTAATTTCTTGACCGAATGTCAAAAATGCCTTTGGAGCCATTGTTTTCCGAAGTCGATCTAAGTTGCGCCGAGGAAATGTTCGATGATACCGAACCAACTAAGCAAAATTTGCCGCAAAAAGTTTGTAACCTCACAACTGTCGATGTTGCAACCCAAACGGATGAACTCCCAGAGTTCCACTCTCAAAATCCTATCGAGGAGTAAAACAAGGACCACACAGCGATGCTATACGTTAACCACAATTCGGGAAATGCATCAAAAGATTTTGAATTTGTCAATACTATTGTTAGAATACTTTCACTATTATTGTTTTGAGAATTTTAAATGTTTTTGACAACAATTAGTTGTATATATTATGGCAGATTCATTTATAATCCCATTGTCCCATTGATATACCATTACCCATGTTATCCTTATGCCATAGACTTAGCATTACCCATAAACTTATCATTGCCATAGACTTAGCATTACCCCTGTTATCCCTATGCCAAAGACTTAGCATTACCCATAGACTTATCATTGCCATAGACTTATCATTGCAATAGACTTAGCATTACCCATGTTATCCTTATGCCATAAACTTAGCATTAAACATCTTTATATACACTGTTTTCGTAATATCCGACCGGATATACAGTATGATTGAACACTAAGAAATTTATAGAAAGTTTTAATGTAATATTTAATTAAATATTTTATAAAATTTGAATATTTCAAAATAATTTATATATTATGGTTTAAATAGCAAGGATATAACAAAAAGATAAATATTTAATATAATGATTTAATATAATAAAAACAATTTTAAAATAAATAGAATAGATATATCAAAAATATAATAATTAGTTGAAGATTAAGACAAAACCGAATTTATTTCGTGTTAAACTTTTGGCAAAAGCGTCGATACCTGACAATCGCCTCGTCATTGCGGGTAAATATCGGAAGCTTTGGTTTTAGACAATTTTCAAAAATAATAGCATCCGAATCAACCTATAAACAAAATATATAAATTAAAATTAGCTGTATTAATTTATAATTTTATTATATTTGATTTAATCTGAACTTCAATAATAACATACTGAAAACCTTTGTTATATATAACAAAGATCACACAGCGATGCTATACGTTAACCACTATTCGGGTAGTGTTCAAAGAATAGATTAGCATAATTTATACATTTACAGACGAGTCCATAAGATTAGCATTAGTTTCCATGAAGACCATAGCCTTAGCATTGCCCATAGACTAACACTGTCTATAGATTTAGCATAACCCATGTTATCCTTATGCCATAGACTTAGCATTGTTGATAGACTTAACATTGCCATAAACTTTGCATTACCCATGTCATTCATATGCCATAGACTTAGCATTACCCGTGTTATTCCTATGCCATAGACTTAGCATTGTCCATAGACTTATCATTGCAATAGACTTAGCATTGCCCATGTTATTCCTATGCCATAGACTTAGCATTGTTCATAGACTTAACATTGCCATAGACTTAGCATTGCCCATGTTATTCCTATGTCATAGACTTAGCATTGTTCATAGACTTAACATTGCCATAGACTTAGCATTACTCATGTTATTTCTATGCCATAGACTTAGCATTACCCATGTTATTCCTATGCCATAGACTTAAGCTGTAATCCCATGTTAAATCCCATAGACCGGGGGCGGAGGGGGAAAGGGGAAGGGGCCGAACGATTCTATAAACCACATTATTCCTATCAGAATAGTGGTTAAAAATATAATGTAATATATTGGTACACTTGATATATCTTAGTCCTTAGGTACTTCTAGTGTAGCTAGGATAACAAATTTAATTTTATAATTTAAGTTAACATTCCTAGGCACCAGAAACCAAGTTTCATAAAGATCGGATTATTGGCCTTTATACTGGAAATTTTTAAAATGTGTCGGTCGGAATTATTCTTTGAAATTTAGGCAAAAATATTTTACCAAAAATAAGCATATTTTTAGATTGAAAATATTTTTATGATAGATATGTTTGGAGTTATTATTTGGTTATTGGGGTTCACTATTGGTTATCCGACAACAGTTTAGAGCAGTTATTACTCACATTACTTATAACGGGAATAAAATGCGAACACAACGAACACAGGCCGCCAATCGTGTCGACTACCGATAATTAAGTGGCCACAGTTTAGGCATCGGTCAGAGTTGGCCAATAAATATGATATGATTATATACATTAGATATTGACGATATAGGAAGAGTAGGGATTTTGTAGTATCTCTATTATTGTTTGAGCATGATCAATTTACATGCGATTTTAACCCTCAAAATCACAAAAATAGACACCTTCCCATAGGATTACATTATTTTGACTGCCTTCGTTTAAAAATTTACTGTATAAAGGCTAATCACCCGATTTTTATGAAACTTGGTTTCTGGTGCCTGGGAATGTTGACTTAAATTATAAAATTAATTTCGTTAAAATATCTCTATTAAATCTATACGAAGACTAAGATATATCAAGTGACCCAATAGTTAATAAATTATAATATTTAATAACAATAACTTTACCATTTTTATCATTAAATAAAGTGCATTTTATACCTGGATATTGGACATATATTTAAATGCTATAAAATATAGCTTGCTGAAAATAGATGATTTGTAAAATAATATTGGTCTGAACAACGTTTCACCATGCTTTAATGGAACAACTGTACCCAACGATAGTACAGTGCCCAGCATTGATTCATCTGTGCCCATGTATAGCAACTCAGTCACTGGTGACACGTGACACAGTTTAATGGGTACAGTGACCAACTCCATGCCGAGTAAATAGATGGTCATTCTACCGGTGATTGTAATCTCCGTCACTGTTTCATACGTGCTATCAAATGAAAATTTTAAACTAGTTATGTATGGTATGAGCACCTGGTGTCTGTAATTAAAGTGCTGAAAGTCAGACCCATTCTCCAGTATGATCTATAATAGTAAAAAATGGTTAATTATTATTGATAAAATTATTTGATTTATTAAATATCAATAATATTATTTATTATCTAATCAGTCAACTGAATCTGTCCGCGCGGTTTTTGTGATTACAGCCAAACTAGACAAGCTAGATTAAATTTGTAAAAAGTAAATTTAAGGTTCACATGTCTAGTTTTTTGTATCAAAAAATTATTGAAATCACGTGACCACAACACAGAAAATTTTGGGTGAAATCGATTTGCCATGTTTTTTGCCCACCTCAATGGGGGCTAGGGAGGGGCTGGTATGCTAATCTTTAGAGGAGATGTCAAAGACTATGATAGCAAAGTTTCATAAAATTCAAATGAATATTCTTTTGTAGAGAACAAAATATTCAAGAAATTTGACACAATATTTGGACAAAATTAGCCCAATTTTGACTTTTTTATACTACATTTTTGATGGTATAAATAGTCGACTTCAGAAAAAAAATTTTCCCATAGACCTAACGTTAATACAATTAACAATTTCTCGTAGATGGCTGAATGGATTTAAATCAAATTTTGCTGTCATTGACATCTCCTTTAAAGATTAGCATACCCGCCTCCTCCCTAGCCCTTCTTGAGATGGGCAAAAAACATGGCAAATCGATTTGACCCAAAATTTTATGTGTTGTGGTTACGTGATTTCAATAATTTCTTGATACAAAAAACTAGACATGTGAACCTTTATTTTATTTTTACAAATTTAATCTAGCTCTTCTAGTTTGGCTGTAATCACAAAACCGCGCGGACAGATTCAGTTGACTGGATAAATAATATAAAATGTTAATAAGAATTTGTTATAATAATTATTTATATTTTATTTTATAATTGAACTGTATATTGTTTTTAGTGTTCACGAAAATATGGTTTTATTATTTTTGTAAATTTAGTGTGATTTATATGGTTTTATTATTTGTAAGAATAAACTGGTGTTATATGGTGGTTCATCAATAATTTTTGAAAAATGTGGTTTTATATGGTTTAATAATATCAGATTTTGTGATTGTATTCTCTCTAACCCTCAAATCTGGATATAATTTAATCTATTTATTTGAAGTTTTTTTCTTTTTGGCATTTTATTTACCGAAAACAATTAAATGTACAAAACTATTAACAAATGTACAAATAATTTTAAAAACACTCACAAAAATATGGCATATTTTGTCACATTATATAGTATATAATATAATATATAGTATATAATATAATATAATATACATTTATAACTCCCAAAATCTGGTTTTATGTGGTTTTATTAATAAAACCAAGTTGTATTATTTTTAAATTTAGTGTGTTTTATATGGTTTTATATGTTTTAACAGATAACTGTGAACACTAATTGTTTTAAATTAAATTATATTGAACAAAGGCGACAAATTAATGACACCTTAATGTACCTGATAGTTACAATGCAGAAGTCTGAGATAACTGCCTATCAGTGATAGATTGTGATAGTTTTTTCCGAGAAAATCCTTTGGGTAGTGATTGGGGTCCTTATCCTCCGAGTGGTGCCAAACATATATCACTTCATTCTTCTCTATTGTCTGCCATTTCTTTACCACAGCTTTCACTGCATTTAACTCAGACTCTATGAAAACGTTATGAATCCATACAATAATTTAAAATTATTTATAAATAATGAATAGAAATAGTTATAGTTATACATACCGTTGAGATTAGGTATGCGTTTGCACTGTCCGTCTCCGCCAAACCTCCAGCCATGGAATGGACACTGAATACAGTCGTCGCCCGACTCTGACTCAGTCACCACATGTCCGCCGACACCGAGATTTGCGCCCAAATGTGGACAATAGGCGGACAACACGTGGACAGCACCCGATCCACCCCTGAATGCCACACATTGTTTGCCACACATTTCAAAGGGTTTCACACCATTGAGGGGCAGATCTCTTGACGTCATGATCACAATCCAAGTGTTGGGGTATTCAGGGGTTTCAATATTAGCATTACAATCATATGAAAATACTTGCTACGGTGGTTGAATAAAAATATTTTTAAATTTGACATCTACAGTATACATTTTAGATAACACAGATTTGTTTATTAATTTTCTCTCTCTTTCTTTCTCTCTCAGTAAAACTTACCTTATTAGTTTTTATATATGTTTTTTTGTAAAATAAATTGTATAAAATATAGCACACAAATATAACAATCATATATTCATACATTTTTGCAACAATTATATGATTGAATTTTCTTAAATATGTTCGTTATTTAAAACATATGTTTTGAACTTCCTTTATATAACAGGTTGTTATATATAGTGTTGTGAGTTCTGTCATATGACGTCATATAACACTTTACATTACAGTTATATGACATGTAAAGTGTAATATAAAAATTTTATATTACAAAAAGTGTAATATAGCTCTGGCGCCGTCCTATTGACTGCAATTATGGCATTGTAATTAATGCTATTATTTAAAAAAATTAATTGAAACACAATAATATAGTGCTATAAAGTGTGTTTCGTTAATCTATTGGCAATACAAGTGATGAATGTATTGTAAATTTAGCCATGATTTCTAAATTAGCATTATTTAAGCAAAATATGTATTTTCTATATTACACTATGTGACGTTATATGACTGTAATATGTAATATAAAAATCTATATTACATGTAATTTACAACACTAGTTATATATTGAATGAAATACAAAACTTTGTAACAACTTTTAAATTACTAAAACATTCTAAAATATCTGAATATTTCTCTAAACAATAAATTATAAGTAACATTTAATTGATATTTAAAGATTTAAGTCTACCCCTATCTTGGTATGTTTTACAACACCTAATCCCAACACAGTGTTTTTACTGTATATAACAATGTTCAAAATAAAATACATTAAATATTTTAAAATATAATATTAATTAAATTAATTAGTCTAAAAAGTGAAGTGAAGTCCAAATACTGATATTGGAGTTACGCATTAAAAATGATGCAAAAATATACTTTACGATTAGATGAAATCATCTAGCTTTAAAATCCAGGCCAACGGGCATATTTAGTGACCATTATTAGCATAATCAAATTAAGAATTTGGCTTAAAGTTGTAATTTGTGAGTCAGATTTATGTGCATATTTTATTTATATTTGTACCGACTCTGGTCTCAACAGCTAATAGGCTGTTCAAGTAAAAATGTTCATTTCGGCCATAACTCAAAAAGTAATCAAGATAATTTGAATCTGTCTTCAGATTATAATAACACTAGTCCATGTCCACATCTCACATAAAATTTATCAGGATTGATTAACATTAAGATCATTTAATTTCAAAAAAAACTGAGAAAAAAATTGTTCAAAAATGTTATTGAAATAGGAAAACTTTTTTCTCGTTTGATAAAAGTCATAAGTGTATATGTAATAATGATAGCCACACATCTCCTCTATAATCTCAATTAATTATTTTATCTCCACGAGCTCTACTTTTTTTCTAATAAGCGGTAGAACCAAGGCACCTATGGGCCAAATATAACTTTGTCAATTTTTTTAATGAGCTTTTTTAAAAAAAGAAACATCTCTCACATACACTCTATTACACTAAGTTTAAAAAGATAACTTAAAAAATGACAAAGTTGAATTTTGACCTTAAATGCATTGGTGTTAACTTTCATTTAAAAAATAATCAGAAATTTAAGAGATAAAATTATATGTTTAAATTATAGAGGAGATGTGTGGCTATCATTATTACATAGACACTTATGACTTTTATCAAACGAGAAAAAAGTTTTCCTATTTCAATAACTTTTTTGAACAATTTTTTTCTCGGTTTTTTTGAAATTAAATGATCTTAATGTTAATCAATCCTGATAAATTTTATGTGAGATGTGGACATGGACTAGTGTTATTATAATCTGAAGACAGATTCAAATTATCTTGATTACTTTTTGAGTTATGGCCGAAATGAACATTTTTACTTGAACAGCCTATTATCAGCTTTAAAGTTAAGCTTTAAATAAGTTTTACTATAATAAAGTTTTAGGTGTTTTACTATTTATTAATATGTTTTCTATCTAAAGCCTTGACCAATTGTTTAACCGCACCCGTTGTATGCCGTATACACTACAAATCGTAATTATCTAGATAATAGATCTTATGGAAATGAGTCAAAAGTATTTACATGCAAGTTAAAGGTGTATGCCCATTGATGTGATAGCGAGCACATTGCACCTCTCTCTCTCTCTCTCTCTCTCTCTTTCTCTCTCTCCCCTCTTCTATACATTTAATATTAATTTTAATAAACAAATTCCATTCACTTCTGGATATATTGAGNCTCTCTCTCTCTCTCTCTCTCTCTCTCTCTCTCTCTCAATTATATTAAAACTATATCTAAAGTTAAGTGCGGGTCCGCATCATTACGTGGACATGTCTGGCCGACCCCTACCCGGGAAGGGAACGGAGTCCCTGTTGCCCGACCGAGTGTCACACTTGTTGAGGCTCCGAGTGGGCGATCAGCAGTTCTATCGGCCCCGTATTAGGCGCCGGGCGTTAGATACAGTGCCCGAAGAGTACAGATCCGATCCCGACAGTCAGGTGACACACTTTTGAATGCCTGTCCCCTATCTGTTGAGTTTCAAGTGAGACTTTAAAAAAAAGTATTCATTTAATTATGAATTAAAAGTTTACAAGTCTTTCATTTAGGGTTTAGTTTAGTTTTATTACTGAATCTCAAATGAATAGCAATTGATTTGATATAAAAATTTGCCAAATTTCTTAAACACTTGTACCCATCGTTGATGATTGCAAAGTATGACGAGTAGCGGCTCCGACACCAGTATGTCTATCTGAACGTTGTCCCAATTGAGGGCCGCATCCCATATGACAAACTCCATGTACTTTATCCTTACGTCCCACTCATCCGTAAGTTTGTTCAGCGCCTGTAGTTTGTCGGCCAATGTATGCATTTGTGGTCCGATGTGTTTGCCCAACGGTTGCTATGTGAAAGACATTTACGGCTAGTGTTGCCAACTGGTCAAGGTTTGCCTTGATTTGCAAGATGAGAGGGTTCTGGGCAAGGTGAAAAGCGAGGGTCTCACCTTGACATAGACAGGTCAAGGTGAGAGCAAATGCAATTACCGAATGTCTATTTTAGGTATTTATTTTAATGAACACACTATTTAAAACCCAGGATAATATTTATTGCCTATTTGTATAATAGCCAAACAAATCCTTTATTAAAAACTCTTCATAAGAAAGACTTTTGTCTTCAAAATGCCCGTATCTCATATGGAAAATGCACTTATTATAATAAAACTTAACGTTATAATTAAATTAAAAGTTAAATTAACATTTTACTCATATTCCAAAAATATTTATAATGAAATATTCAATAATAATTGTGGTCAAGGTTTGGTCAAGGTGAATTTAGACAATTTTTGTAATTTTCAAGGCGGTAGTCGATCAGAGTTGGCAACATTATTTACTGCTTGAGTATTGTGAGGGGTGGGTGTCTGGTGGCCGGTGCTGTCCCTCATACTGTTTATAAATAATTATTTACCTTTTATTGTTAAAAATATTCTTTTAATAACAAAATTAAGTTTTAAAATTATACATTTTTATTAAAATTAATGTATCATGGTTTAATAAAATATAAAATATTTTTTAACAATAATAAAAATTTGAAAAACAATTGGCAAACAATTGCCAATTGGTTGGCATTTTGTGTGACAGTAACTTTGATCACAAAAACATCGGGCACACCATAAAAATGGCAGCATTTAACATAGAGGCGGAAATCGATCGGTTGACGGGCCTGATAGAGGCGGCGGGGGCTCAGCTCCGGATTGGGTTTAATTTTAATTGTAGTTCGCTTTGGATTTAATTTTGGTATGATTTAGATTTTGGGTTTGTTTTAGTTTTGGTTGAGTTTTGCAAGTCTTAAGATACTCATCGATAGGTTGACCCCCACTCTCACGTCTCCCCTCTTCTATACATTTAATATTAATTTTAATAAACAAATTCCATTCACTTCTGGATATATTGAGATGTGGTAAACATGTGCCACTTTTAACCATCGCTGGTATTCTGCGATAACTGGTGTTTCTGCCGCCCGCAATTCAAATATAATAATAATGTAAATTGTTGACATATTATTAAAAACATTTTTAAATGATATAATTTAATTAAAAACAATTTAATTTTTTGTTATTTATGATTTGATATAAACGTAATTATTCAATTAGTATGAAATAAATTTAATATATTAAATATTTATTAACTTATTAATTGTTCTGTATTTGTGATTAAAAAAATTATAATTTTAATTTAAGTTTTGTTTCGTTTTTGCTATGGGTTAAAGTTGTGTTTTGGGTTGGGTTTGGTTTTGGGTTGTGTTTTGGTTTTGGGTTGAGTTTTGGGTTGTGTTTTGGTTTTGGGTTGAGTTTTGGGTTGTGTTTTGGTTTTGGGTTGAGTTTTGGGTTGTGTTTTGGTTTTGGCTTGAGTTTTGGATTTGGCTTGAGTTTTGGGTTTGGTTTTGGGTTGAGTTTTGGTTTTGGGTTGAGTTTTGGTTTTGGGTTGTGTTTTGGTTTTGGGTTGAGTTTTGGTTTTGGGTTGTGTTTTGGTTTTGGGTTGTGTTTTGGTTTTGGGTTGAGTTTTCGGTTTAGTTTTGGATTGGGTTTTTGGTTTTGTTTGATTGTGGTTTGCTTTGGATTTTAGTTCGGTTTTACAAGTCTTAAGATACTCATCGAGAGGTTGACCCCCACTCTCACGTCTCCCCTCTTCTATACACTTGATATTAGTGTTAATAAACAAATTCCAATCACTTCTGGATATATTGAGATGTGGTAAACATGTGCCACTTTGAACCACAGCTGGTATTCTGTGATAACTGGTGTTTCTTCCGCCCGCATAGACCGGCACCTCATCCAGACTTAGCAACTCTTCATCCGTTATATTCTTGATTTTGAATTGATTACTAATATTAGAGTTAAGGAAATTCAGACCAAAATTAATTATAATTTGAAACACTGGATCATCATTGTATAGAATGGCCGATTGATCTTTAACGTGTTTATTACTCATAGCTGCTCCATCGTACCAAGCAGCTATTATGTTTAAAATAAAATTTAAAAAATAAACAAATTAATTGCATTAAAATATATGTGATTGTATTTAATCATGCTCACATAATATAACATTTTCAAGTTTCAT